TCTTATAGATTTCTGGAGGATAATCCACGGGGGCAGAGGAGGGTACGTACCTGATGCAAGTGCGTGAAGGGGAGCAATCAACCAGACCAGACGAGAAGAGTAAGTCTGGATGAGTACTGCTTCTGACTCGTCTGGAGACTGTAATATGGAAGGTTTGAGGGTTGCGATGAGAAGGAGAAACGGCGAGCAAGGCGGGTGTTTGCTCGCGTAGAAGGTTGGGATGACTCGCCAGGAAGAAAAGTGTGGTGGGAGAGAGAAGGAGTGGAAAGAGTGGGAGGGAAAAGTGAGAAGGAGATGAGAGGGGCAGCAACAGATGACGGGAGTGCTGCCTACTGTTTGCCAGAAAGGGTCGACTGGTACTGCCTGGTCCGACACTCGGCGGCAGCTCTTGCCAGTTGCGGTCCTTTCCTGTGGTGGCCGTTTACTTGAAAGTTTCGTCACCACGAAAGATTGGACTCCGAGAGTGGTGAGTCCAACGCTCTCTGATATACCGTCAGACTGAATCACATTCACAGCGATATGAACTGTTTACTACCTGTACGTTGTGGTTAAGTTCACTGATGTCAAACACTCAGTGGATGGCGATCCCATGGTCACAGAGATGTAACAGCAACAAGATGGGGATTACTCAATTTTGGAACTTGGAAACAGGAAGAGAGTTACTCTACGTGATTGCAAAAATGTCGCTGACTATGATTTCTTGTGTCGACAACCAGCGAAAAAGTTGTGATGGAGTGTCCGAGCAGTCACTGGGATCATCAAACACCTGTGACTTGCCCAGTTATCACCGTGGTCTTGACTCTCATCCTGGTTTGTTGCCAGACAAGCGATGATGCTTTCAATGACGAGAGCAAGTGAAATTGTTGCTGCTACAAAGTTTCCTGTCTGAATAAGGTAAACACCTGGCTACACTTGGTAATAACGGTTGTCACGAAATCATGTCGTGGTAGGCAAGTGCCAAGACGGTTTGGGTTTCCAGCGGGAGTGTCATCAAGTGGAGGCAATCCGGTTGGGAAGTCGCGGTTCACAGTGACGGGCCATCAAGGTAGCCAGCCTGCTAACTTTTGTGCAAAACATTGTCGGGTCAACGCCCAGAGAAACGAAAGCCAGAGATCACGTAGATTGGAAAGGCGCTTCCAGGTGAAATGTTCTTGTGGTAGGTGACGGTGCCCTCGGCTGTCGGCATTCGCAATCAGGAGAACGTCATGATATTTCGATGACGCTTCTACACTACAGTGACTATTCGTATGACGAGCTTCACCCGCTACTTCAAATCTCTCACCAAAGAGCCATCATTTGCAAATATGTTCACGGAGAGAGTCATGGCGTAGGAGTGACCACTCAGACAATCTGGGAGTCTATTCCCCGCCGTGAACAGGGCAACCACTCAAGCCAAACATCCAACAATCACAACAGGTTCATCAAGAAACCATTCCTGGGCTTCGATATCCATACAGTCATCAAGCTGTCAATTTTTCCATGTTGTTTGAGACGTGGCAGTAACGAAAATTGAAGATGGCGACATCGTAAACATTCTCATTTGCACTACTTTGATCTCCAACGATGACGGTAACAGCGCCCCTAAATCGCACCTCCACGACATCTTCAGGAAACATTCCAACCCAATACAAAACTGGTCCCAAGAATCTGTCAACAAAGGGCAGCCATCACTTCCCTTTGCCCTTCTTCTGTCCGGGAAGCAAGCATTTTCTCCTGAACCTTCACTCCTCCTCCGAGGGCCAAAAGCTGCTTCAATATCGTCCAAACCGGGTCCAATCATCCTGATGAACGTCGCTTCAAACTTTCGGATGATCTCCCTTGTCTTGGTGGTTAAGTCCGGTTGTTATTCCTGCTTGAACCTTTCACCCATTTGTGACTACTTCTGTAATGCTCGACGACAGCTCGAATCTGGAGTCCAGACTATCGATGCCGACAGGACTGGGTGAATGTAGAAACAGAAGGATGGTCGGTCCTCCCCACCAAGTAAAGTAGGTGACCGACCTGCAGCAGGACAACATCGATATTTGGGTGCATGCTTGCTTCCACTTGGGAACCGGCTCGCCTGTGAGAACCGAGAAGGCGCGCAAGACGGGGATATTTGGCTTGACTGGAGATTCTCCCCGGTGTTTTGGAGAGTGAATGTTCTACCTGTATGGGAATACACAGGGACACAATAGTAATGAAACACTACCAGTTGCTTTTTTCCTGACCTGTTGTGGCCTTTGCTCGTGCGCTTCGTTGGTGTGGCCAAATGTCGATGTTGTCTTCATTCTGTTCTCGTTCAATTCATCCCGCTCACCTCCAACCTTCAAGTTGCGCCGCGGAGTTCTTGCCGTTTACTGTCTACTTTCTACCCTCTGCCGTTCGCTGCTTCTTCGCTCCCGCCTAACCTTGACTCTGGCTTATCTCCATGTCCCTTGAAGTATTGAAGCCTCTGTCGCTCTGCTTCTCCAGACGTTTCTTTCTTGCCACGGCCGTCCCATGAATCAAGTTGACCACGTATCGAAGGACAACAGAAACTGGAACTGAATCCGACAGGTTTACCTCACCCACTTTCGCCACTATCGTCCCTTCTCCCCACGCAACATGAACGCAACTTCCATCTGCCAGCTTGAAACTGACCAAACATGCGAGTCACACCGGCCCCTTTGTCCGCCTCGCTTTCGTCTGTCTTGTCTTCCTCCTTGTCGTCTGGTGTTTCTATACTCTGAGACCTTGGTACCTTGGTACCTTGGTACTTCCCTCCAGCAATATCGTCTCATCTTCCATCTCCCATGAGAATAAACGGGACTGGAGGTCTGGGCTGTTTGGCTTGTTCGTTGAGGTTCCTCTGGCAACTGCTTGCAAACGGTTTCTATTGGAGACAGGCTGCGGGCAGGGCATGGTCAGGAGAGGGAAGGAGAGAACAGGAGACGTCAAAGACAACGCAGTGTCAGGAGTGCCAGGTAAGCTGAGGAATTGTTGAGAAAAAGGTCAAGTCTTCAGTTGTGGTGTTGGGTGCGCGGCGATGTGAGTTTGCCACCCTGGAGTACCTACCTAGGTAGCTCTAGATTTTCGCTGTAATGGAATATGTCTGAGCATGTTGGGCGAAGACGTGACTATTGGCTTTTTTTTATATTTTTTTTATAATTTTTTTATTGGTACAACGCGAAAGACTGACGATCATGGAGGATGGATCTGGATCTAGATCTGGATAGCATAAGGGTAGAGCACAGCACAGCACAGCACAGCGAGGGAAATCAGAGGTTCGAGGAAGAAAGAAGAATGATACCGGAACTACTTTCTAGACGACACAACACCTAGCTAGGCTCGAGCTAACGGGAGTAAGATTCAGCAATGACAGCAACTGGAAATCTGATATTTTACCTATCATCAATCCAT